TGGCCCTGCTTGGGCAGGGTGTTGGACTGGGTGACCCACAGAGGTCCCTTCCAACTCCGGACATTCTGTGATTCTGTGAAGGGAAAACAAAACTGTCAGGCCAAAAGACAAAGAATCTTTTTTTTCCTGGAGAAAAATTCGTGTTAGAGATGCTTGATAACTGCTGTTGCAGTATGTTGCATTAGAGAAGCGAAGGAAAATAAGGCCCAACAAATGAAAATAAGGCTCATCGTTGCGTGCCTGGTCTGCTGAGCTGTGCCACAGTCTTGCCAGTTCCTTCAGTCACCTTCTTTGTACCCCTGCTCCTTTTCACGCTGAATCCCGTCGGATTTATTTTTTGTCTCGCACAGCGTTTGAGAGAGTGGGGTTAGCGGTGGTCCTCGTGCTAACAAAGTACTAAAGAGAGTTTCTTTAAGGAAAAGGCTGCAGAAGGATTTGGCTGACTCAGAGGAGAGGATTTCCCACCTGCCTCGTGCACGTCCAAGCACCGAGGGAGAGACTCAACGCTTCCCGGAGAGCCCAGAGCGCTTGGAAAGGAGACGGGCCGGGCTCTTTGCCGGCACCGAGGGCTCCGGGAGCGGCGGGGAGGCGGTGAGAGAGGCCGCCTTTGTGTTGTCTGCCACGGCCGTTAAAGCTGCCGTCTTCCTGCGCTCAGCAGAACCTTCTGGCTGAGGAAAAACCATCCTCCAGGCTGCCCAGAGGCTCCTGGGTGCCACCAGTGCTCACCCTGCTCTAGACCTGCTGTCTTCTGCAGCAGCTCGTGGGGGAGAAAGGCCGTGGAGGCTTACAAGGGAGAGACCTTTGGGTGGCTTTCAACTGCAGGGGAGATGCTGGGGAGAAAAAAAAAAAAATCAAAAAAAAATCAGTGTTTTAAGAGAAATCTGGGTGGCAGATGGTGATGGCGTTCATCCAGGAGAGCTTCCTCCCTCTGAAGGCATGGATTTGTCTCGTTCTCGGATACGGAAGAGCTGCTCGTGTTGGCTGACTTCCTGGCAGCGTAAGGAAAAGAAAAAGAAAAAAAGCAGTTCTCTGTGTCGTTGAAATGATTTCCTCCTCTTGTTCGGGTGCCACAGCCCTTCCCTACAAAATCGGGTTTGGAGGGGAAGTTTTGTCCGTGCCCCCGATTATTTGAGTGCTCCATGTGCTTTTTACTGCATAGAAAATCCTTAATGCTAGAGCAGTACTCGATTTTGGGCTGGGACGCTTGCTCCTTGGACCCTTAACCTGTGGCTGGGCTGCAGCTAATGAGAGATCCGTAATTAAGAACCAGTAGGTTGAAGTTAATTACCTTAACAGGCTGTCTTTCAGAACGTGTCCCTGGTGAGCAGCTGAAGGTGCAGGCGAGCTGCTGGCAGCTGGAGGAGGAGGAGGCTTTCTGCAGCCGGCACTGCGAGGCCGGGTCCCTGCGCAGGGGCTGGGGTCCCCTGCTTGGGGCCTGCTGGGGCTTGGCATGAGCCCCCCCTGGCTGCCCTGAGCCCCCCCTGGCTGCCCTGAGCCCACCCTGGCTGCTGTTCACCCCCAGCCCCGCAGGCATCGGTCCTGTTCGCCGGGCAGTGAGGAACTGGTGTGGTTTAACCCCACGCTTGATGTTCTCCTACTTCAGTGGCTGCTATAACAACACCCGAATAAAAAGCGAATTTATGTATATTAAAATATTGAAGTTCTTGAGGGCACTGAGAATGAGCTGGGATGAAGTTTCTAAAGAGCCACTGTCTTGCTTTTCCGACTAGGAAAGCTTCCTAAACTGACGGACCCAGTTGGTGATTCTTGTGCCCTAAAATCTGTGAGGTTGCTCCGAAGTGTAGGAATGTGGTGCGTGAACTTCACAGCCGACTTGAAAATGAACTGGTGTTACAGAATCATAGAATGGTTTGGGTTGGAAAGGACCTTGAAGATCATCTTGTTCCAACCTCCCTGCCATGAGCAGGGACATCTTCCACCAGCCCAGGCTGCTCCCAG